TATATTTTTTCCTCTCTTTTTTAGGGAAGGGTCTACAAAATATTCAGGGTCTCATTACTAGATTGGATTTGTAGTGATTCTCCTGTTTGTAATCCCAAATGCTGGGATTACAGGCCAGCGCCACCAGGCCCAGTCTCAATCTATCTCTGTGTACTCTGGGGGTGGGGCTGACACAGCAGGGATTGAGTCCCCCTCCCCCTCCCGCCCATGAAGCCTGCAGGTGCTTTAATCCACTGAGCTATTTGGCCAGCCCACAAAAGAGGGAATATATATTTTTTTAATTTTATTTATTTATTTATTTTTTTTTTGTGTGTGGCCAGCTCAGCCCACTGGGGGTGGGGATGGCTGGCATGTGGTGCTGGGGGATTGAACCGCAGTCCCTGTGCTTTGCTGAGCTTGTTCTAAGTAGGTGCTTTAGACCACTGAGCCATCTCACCAGCCCCTTAAAGATTTTTATTATTTTTGTTTTTGGTACTGTGAATCTAACTCAGGACCTTGCACTCGCCAGGCAAGTGCTGTATCCGTGATCCACCATCCTGTTGTGATCACTAAGGAATGTGTTACAATTATCCATTTACAGGACTCTGGGTAAAGCTGCTGCCATCAGTCCTTCACACACTGCCTGTTTTCACAGCACATGACCGCACTGGTCAGAGCAGCACAGCTAGACAGCGAGAAACATCAATGAATGCGAGGAGAAGGCAGCCATCTACAAAAGGACCAGAGGCTGGAGATGTGGCTGGCCGTTCTGCTCACAGCTACACAGAGACACTACACAGGAGGCTGTAACTAGGCAAAACCAACTGGGCCTTCTCTAAGGAAGTGACTATAAAACACATGCAGTCACCTGCCAGGTGAGTGGAGCTCACAGCAGGGAGAACACAGAAAAGGTGGCTAAGCCACGGCTGTGTCACAGGTTCCTTGAGCTCTCCTGCACGCCTGCTGTCACCCTCCCACTGTGGTAGGTGCCTGTCCATGTGCTGTGGCCCATGTTTCTAGCTCCGCACAAACCAGCTGGGCAGTTGCTAGGACACTTGTTACATTCTTCTCATTTAACAGGGACCTGAGGAATATGTCTACTCCCGACAGCCCAGAAGCACCTGCCTCAACTCCATTTTTGTAGCTGCCCTACTGATCAGATCCATGACTGCATCTACCCCCTCCAGCACGAACCACGGGTGACCAGCACCAGTAAACATGCGGCTTGGGCAGTGGACAGGACAATCCTGCGAGGAGAAACCAGACTTCAGGAAGGAAACATGGCCACAGCTAGGGTTGTGAATATCCTCTGGAGGCCTTATGTTTTTTTTTTTTTTTTAAAGAATTATTTATTTATTCATTCATTCATTCATTTTGTGTGTGTGGCCAGCTCAGCCCACCAGGGGGCGGGGCTGTCTGGCATGTGGTGCTGGGGACTGAACCGTGGTCCCTGTGCTTTGCTTGGATTAGCTTGTTCTAAGGAGGTGCTTTAGACCACTGAGCCATCTCACCAGCCCCTGGAGGCCTTATGTTATGGGCCTGGTCCCCAGCTCAATGCAGAGAGAGGTGAGGCCCAATGTGGGAACCTGGAATCCCAGGGCCCTCAGGGGGACTCTGGGATCTGATTTCTTCCTGCTGTTTTCACTTTCCAACCTCAGAGTGCATTCTCAGCCATGGCACTGCCTCACACAGGCCCCAAAGCCCTGCAGCAAACCTCCAGAGCCAGGAGCCCAAACAGTAGGCTTTTCCCTGTATAAGGTAGCAATTGATGGACAGAGCGTGTGCAGGTGTTCATCTCAGTGACAGTGAACTAACACAGACCCTTCCGTGGACAGAACACCACTGGCAACACTACAGAGCCTGGATGGAGCCTGGTGCACAGGGTTGGGGTATCCTAGTGGTCACCCAAGGTCCTGGTTTCAGTTAAATGGGATCACTTTCTCTGGTGTTACAGTAAACATCTTTAATCCTGGAAATATCTAGAATAGAGGAACGTTTAAGACAATTAAAATCACCATACAAATAGCTTTTGCATTACAGAGATTAGAGGTTTGGCCCTTTCTACAAGGATTCCCACGTCAAAGATCTTTTCATTGTAGCCCTTTTTTTTCTTCTGACACAGGGTCTCATTACCCAGCTCGGACTCATAGTGATCCTCCTATCTCAGTCTTCCCAGCTCTGGGATTATAGGCATGTGCCAACACATCCGGTTTCTGGGCTGGCATGGCAGGTGATGCCAGAAATCAAATTTGGGACCTTGCACTTGCCAGCAGGAGATTAGACTGCCGAGCTATCTCCCCAGCCAACAGCCCCTCTTGATGCTACTTGGTCTACCTGCAGCCTCCTCACCATCCACCAAAAGGCTGTCCACATCCTTTCTGCCCCAGCACCCGCAGCTTGCTCTAGCTATTGTGTACTCCAGCAATGCAGGCACTGACTGCCTCCCAGGTACTGGGAGGGCTTGCCTGGGAAATGTGACCTCTGACCTCTGCCTGCAGAGATTAGTCTATAGAGGCACCAGACACAGGCAACATGAGAGACTCGCTCGCGCCAGGGTCAGACTACAGGAATTCAGAGCAGGGAGAGATTTTGTGGGTGTTCCACAGGAAGGTTAGTCTGAGGGGATTTCAGCAAGAGCTCAGCCCCCAAAACTGCAGAATTCAGATTTGTCCTAAGTGCTATTTTGTATGTCCAAAGAATCAATCTTAAGTGGATTAGAAAATACTGCCTCAAGAGCCGGGGATATAGCTCAGCGGCATAAGCACCTGCCTGGGAAGCACAAGGTGTCAAGTTCAATCCCTGGTACCACAACACAATCAACACACACACACACACACACACACACACACAAACTACCTCTACAAAAACAACTCCCTCAAAAAAATTTTAAGAAAGCTACCTACCACTTGCTAATGTGAGTACAGCAGAGTGTGGCGTTGCACAGGCTATGGAGAAACACTGCTTCCTTCCCCCTTGGTTTCTGAACTGCAATCTATTTGTCAGTCTTCAGCCAGACTCTTGAAATAGGGAACTAAGAAGGGCCCATGACTTGACTTTTTGTACTCTGAAATATCTAGTAAGTAAGATATAGAGACCAAGAGCCCAGGAGCTCAATACACATACACCGTCCATCATGTGAACACATATAAAAAGAAAGTACTCTTGTTTTCTAACTGGACCATCACCAGCTCTGGTCAGTGCAACTACTGCCTTAGCCACTTTCAATGCAATGAATCAGAAGCCCAGGAAAAGAAAGGCCTCTTCTGCTGCAAGACCCCTAGGAACCACAAAGCAGCCCACGGTATGTTTCGCATGGCCACTGCCACGAGCCTCCGCTTGCACGGAGTGCCAGATAAACACCACTTTCCCTGTGCTTTCACCACGAAGGTGCACAGGAAGCACGAAAGCCATCTTCCTGTGATCTCGAGCGCAGCACTCGCTCCTGAGCTGTGCTGAAAGGCTGGACAACCACGCAGATGGGGTGGGCCCCGGCTGTCTCTCAGCACGTACCTCCTCGCAGACCTCACGGACAGCTGCCACACCGGGCTCCTCCTCAGGCTCCATGCCTCCGCCAGGGACAATCCATCGGTCTGGGTGGCGACTGCTGCTCACGAGCAGCACCTGAAGTTACACAGAGCAGAGGGGAGGGTTAAGAATGTACGAGAACACAGAACACATGTCCACAGTCTGAACACCACAAATGCTAAAGTCACCACTAAGACCATGCTTTGTTTACTTCTGTACATACCAGTGTCATTTACTTTCACAAAAGTTTATTACCAACAATTGCTTCTTGACTCTTCCCTTATGTTCTTGGTCATTTGTCCATTTGTCTTCTCAGTTTGTTTCTTGGACGCTCACACAACACTTCACATGGCAACAAAAAGACTATAAAAAATGTGACTGATGAGCCTGTAGGACCCAAGGCTGGCGGGGGCAGAGGCCCTCACTGTGGCTGTTACCACGGCCTTGCATGTTCCTGCCAGGCTCACACTCCTGACCCAGTCCTGCCCCTTCAAATGGACACAGCCCTGCAACACTCGGCCTGCACAAGCAGCAGATCAATTCCTATTGTTGCGCTAGCAGCTAAGATTGGCATTTTTCAACTAGGAAATTTTAGTAAGTAGAAAACCAAATAAAAACACAAAACATTGGGGCCTGGGAGATGGCTCAGTGGAATAAGCACTTCCCTGGCAAGCGCAAGGGTCTGAGTTCAATCCCTGGTTCCGCAAAAAAATAAAACAAACAAACAAACAAAAAACCACAAAACATTGATACTGGATATAGTTTTGATAAAAAGAAAAAGCCCACAACATAGCTTAGCAGACCAAGTGCCGGAGTAGGCAAACACAAGGATCATCCCTGGCACCACATGCCACGCTGGCCCCGCCCCAGGTGCACTGAGTGGGCCACAGAAATTGGGTGTGGTGGTGCATGCCTGCAATTGCGGCACTGGGGAGGCTAAAAACAGGAGGATCACTATGAGTCCAAGTTGTACAGTGAGACCCTGTACTACTGGTGTGTACCCTGTTTACACACACACACACACACACACACACACACACGAATACAGTTTTATGGCTTCAAACTGAGCCAGTATTCTGGTCAAGGATGAAATACGGGCCAGGGAGATGGCTCAGTGGAATAAGTGACTGCCTGGCAAGCGCAGGGGCCTTAGTTCAATCCCCAGTTCCACAAAAAAAAAAAAAAAAAAAAAAGATGAAATAATTTTGAATTCCTCTAGCTGTTTTCCTTACCTTTCCCTTGGTTGGATGGAACCTAAACAAATCAGCTGAACTCCACAGCCACAGCCAGATTCTAGTGCCATTACAGTATTTCCAAAACTAAAAGAACACTCAACTACTCCCTAAAGTACCACATTCCGGGCGTGATGGCACATGCCTGTAATCCCAGCACTTGGGAGGCTGAGGCTACAAGAAAAATCACTGCAAATCTGGGACCACCTGGGCTACAAAGTGAGCTCAAGACAGCCTGAACAACAACATAGC